ATTTTATCTTGAAGGGAACATTATTTTCCTCCTTACAAAATTTGTTAATATCCCTTTACATAGTTTCCTCTGAGAGGGAAAAAAAATGCTATCATTGTTTCAATACAGTTAGAAGTTCTAATGACATAGGTTTATTGTGGGACAATGTGAGGTACTTGCAACTTTAACATTTAGAATGTACAACTGAGTTAGCTTACAAGGAATGCCATCACCAAGAAACAGAATCCCCAAATTAGCCATCTGGCAGACACCCTGTTAAACCCCAAAGATAGAAATCTCACTTGAAAGATCTAGACTGTTTTGGGTATTGAAACTATATTTCTACTTTACTTCCAAAAGTAGCTTCTGTGCTTTCAGTCCTGGGAGTTCAAGATTCTCGGAAAATACATACTGCTGAAGACTTCTGGAATTTTCCAGTCATCTTTATTACCATGGGTATGAACTGCTGATATGGTCTTTCAAGACCACACAGGTATCTCCTATGCTAATAAACTAGTTACCAATTATTTTCTATAGTGCTTTCAAATCAATGAAAATACAATCATCATAAAAATTCAGAGAACAAAGCTCCCTTTCTTCACACACCTGATGCTGTGGTCAACACTGGTCCTTTAACCTGAAGGCCAGCAGCTCTCATGCATCAGGGGCACTGCTGACACTTTTTATGAGAATATCTCCTGCACAGCAAGACAGTAGCATCTGGCTCCACCCATTTAACACCCGCAGCCATGGTGGCAAGCAAAAATTCTCTGACCTTTAAACAGAGAGCCAAACACTGCAGAAACCTTTTAAGATCCCTCACATCTCTAAATGCCCGATTCAAGGTAGCTGAAAACCCTAATAAGTGCTTTAATGCTCTATCAACAGTGATACACTCCTCACCTGAGCTAGGTAAAGGGAACACCAAGAGGAATAAGACACAGCCCCTGTCCTTGGTCTAGTGATTGTCTTACCTCATTTCTATCAATAACAATATATTAGAACACTGAAAGGAACAGTTAAAAAAAAAAGTATATCTGAAATGGGCCACATTTCTGCAACAAAGTACGAAAAATTCCGGTTGGCTTACATATTCATATGTATTTTGAATGAGCATAGTTCAGAAGGGTGGATGGGCAAGATGGTGTGGAAAAAAAACCCAGACCTTTAGAGTCAGAGAAACCAAGGTTCGAATCTCACCCCTGAAACTTATTACTCTCATGATTTGGGGTAAATCATTCTCTACTAGGAGTGGTATCCTACCTCCCATCCACCTGGGTGGAGGTGTTTGGATTATTCCAATTACTGGAGGACGCTACTGGCAATTAGTGGGTGGGGTCATGGATGTGAAATGTCCTGCAAAGGACAGCAGAGTCCAGTTCAACCAAGAATTGTTCCACCCAAGATGCCAACAGCGTTCACCATTAGGAACTCTCCACCCTCAGTTTCAATTGTCAGAATAGTGATCAGCATACCAACCTTCAAGTCTAAGGGTGAGGTTTAAATGAAATGCTGCAAGTAAAAGTACCCAGCCCAGCAATACGTGCACAATTAGCTCTTGATAAATGCTGATCTCACCTTACTATCCCATCTTGAGTTAAAATGTCATACAGAGCTCCTTTTAAACAGGTCCATCATGTGTGATAGAGCAAAGAAACAAAAATGAGCATTTTCTCAAAGTGGATAACATTAATAGGCAGGTATCCTCCAAATTTCACATTCTAGTAGTGTCTATTTAACAGGTTTTCACAAAAGTACTCTAAACTTTAAATCGAGAGCCAAATGCTGTCTAGAGACCTTTGTGACCTAGCTCCAATCTTTCTTACTGCCTCTTTCACGCTGTCCCACTAATGTATATAGTCCCCAATAGATCATAACCTCCTATAGGCCTTTGCTCAGCGTAGAATACCTGTTCCCTATTTGTGTTCCTGGCTAAGTTCTCTCAAAATACTACCGACGTCTTGAAGAACCAGGTAAAACTCCCTCAACTGTGAAGCCCTCCCTGCTGTCCCCTACCACTTCTAATGAGTCCTTTCCTTGTGTGCTCATAAAATGGGTTAAACATTATAGCAGTGATTCTCAAATTGGGATCCAGAGAACGCAGAGTTCTCAAGTTTCCTATGAAAGCTTCAGTTACATTTTTCATTTCCATATGATCTAAAATAAATACAAGCACCTCCTGAATCTGGTCAGTCACCCTAGAAGAGTACTAACAAGCAATTCAAGTATCCACACTTAAATTTGCAGTGTTGATGTAAACAGACCTTTTTTAACGGCCAAAGGTTAATGAGAATAGAATAGCAGCAAACTCAATGCATAAATGATATGTTCACACCAAATGAAGCCCAAGTAACTTAGAGCACACCATAAAAGCAAAGGTTTTCCTATGGTTCAAATAAGGAAATATTGGAAAACCTGAATCATGGCAGAGTACAGAGTTGTAGAGTCATGGCAACACCAAAGACCCTGTGTTTGTCCCAGTTGGTAACATTTGTATTTTGTGGGTAGCCAAAAAAGAGTTTTCAGGATAATGCTTAAAAACTGACCTTTATTGGTCTTATGGTTATGTTTAATTTTCACTCTGTTCTTAAGGAATTCTGTGAAGTCCCATTTTGTATTTGTACATGCATAAGTTATATAATAAAATTCATATAAGCCAACACTCCCAGTGTTGAAAAGGAGACTGTACAAGTTTAAAGTTTGAGAGAATGCATTTCAAGTACACTGAAAAAAATCAGAAAGTGGATATTAATCCTTAACACATCTTAAGGGGCCTCAGAGTTGTAGGCACAGCATCCGACTTAATACTTGTTCACTGACTGAAAAGTAGCTATGTGACTTTGGGCAAGTTTAACTGTTTTTTACAGTAAAATGAGGACACTGATCACAAAAGGTTTGCCCAACCTCAAGTCTAATATCCATAAAACTACTTTTGTAAATTAAGTGCTAGATACATGCATGAAATGTACTAGTATTGCTGTTTTCAAGGGGTCTTTTCAGCTTTTTTTCAGTCATCTTTACATCCCTACCACACTGCATGTCTGCTGTTGGGGTCACCAGTATAAAAGGTAAACTGGGCTCCCATTACAGCTACAAGTTTTCACTGCCTTTAAGAGAAACAGCCAAAATACCCCTTCATTTGAAATAAGAGCACAGTTGACAGATCGCAATTCTGTTTCCAATCTTGTTAACACCAGGGTGTTGTGTTACTAGGACACTGGGTACTGCTAAGAGTTTCCATTTGTTTCATTAAACTTTCAATAAAGGCTTTGTGTGTTTATATTCTTGAAAAGAAAGATTCAAGCTCATTTAAAAGGTAAAACACCCACAGAAAGGATTACTCCTATCCCCTAAGCTGGCAAGTTCTAAAAAGATAAGGACAAAATTAACGTTCATATAAACACAGTTAAAATTCTCAGTGTCAAAACGCCACAGCCTGTCCCTATCTGGAGATGAGAATGGAGAAGTGCTAAGTAGACAAGAGGCTAGTTGCTAGAGAGGTTATCCAGAGAGAGAGAGATTAGATTTGAGAAGTGTCTTAAAGAGCCAAATTAGGGCAGAAAGGCAGGCAGAGTTTCAGCACAATTCTGTTATGAACCTGAAATTGGCCAGCCTATTCCTTTCTAACAGTGATTCAAGTTGCCAACTTTTGCTGAGTCGACTTGGGATTTCTTTTAAACACTGCTTCCATGTTATCCAAGATGATTAGTGTTGTTGCAGTGATGGCAGGCACCTCAGGCAGTCTGCCCACACCAGGAGATCTGACATTCTGGTTGAACCCTGTCAGACTTCAAAACTATTTTTAACTACCGTGTAACTTTGAATTTTAAATTCTCCCTTAACAGGGCAACTATAGGTGAAGCTTCGCAGGAAAAGTTTACCAATTACAGGTGCTTTCTTGGAAAGATATGGTATTAACAGTCATTCATAATGGAAATGTTTCACAACTAGGGAAACTGAGGAACACAAACTCCTAGAATCAAATCACAAGGCCTGAATACTAATGACACCAGCACAGTCACACAGTTCTGCTTCCTATCCATTTTTCTCCTGTCCTCCGCTTAGTCTTTAAAACACAGCTTTCTAGAGAGCGTCCTTCCAATCAAAACGGATTACACAATTCCGGTGCAATTTGGAACAGGGCAGAGTATAAGCCTGTCTTCTCATCAAAAGTTTAAAACAGTAAGATGTATTTCATTTGACCCCTCTTCCTCCCTCAAAATGGTTGAAGAGTCAGGAACCGGCATTTTAACGAGAGCCGTCTATACACACACACACACATATTCGATTTTACAGCAGGTGGAGGAAGAAGCAAAGACTGTATAGAGAAGGGGCACGTTTTCCATGCTGACACCAAGACAGAGGAGTCCTGGTTTTTGGAATCTGTTGGGGAACTTGAGGGAGATATCTCCAAAGAAACAGGGGGAAGGAGGGCGGCATCATTTAAATGTCCAGGCAATGGTAAATAAAACTAGCAAGGTTTTTGTATTTTGACTAAGTCTTGGGAACTCATTATCACAATTCTTTAAAAAAAAATCATTTTGAGTAAATTTAAATAAGATGGCAAAACACCAGCTGAGGTGGTGGCGCTCCAGTGTTTTACCTTTCCCTCCCGAGTGTTGGTGGCTCGGCTCGCTCACAACTGTTTCCCATTACGGCCGGCAGGACGCCGGGGGACTCGCTTCTGCCACAGAACTTGGAGCTCAGACGCCAGTGTGGAACGGGAACGGAATCACGTACCGGGAGGGGGAGGTGGGAAGGAAGAACGCCGCGCCGGCTGGGCCCGGTGGGAACGCACCCCGCGGCGGGTCACGAACTTCACCCGGATTTAACTAACCACGGAAAAGGGAGTGAAGCGGCACGGGAACTGGGCGAGGAGGAGGAAACTTTAGCAAAGGAGAACAGAAAGTGGCGAGCGGAGCGGAGCCTGGCCCCAGAACCGCTGGCTGCAGGCGGTCGGGCTAGGGGCCCCCATCAGGCGAGTCCGCGCAGAGCCCCCCGAAGTCCCCCGCGGCTCCCACCTGACAGCGCCCTGGCCTGGAGCGGGCGGCTGGCTCGTCCCCGGCCTCTCCTCCTCTTCCTCTTCCTTGTCCCGGGAAGGGCTTCGGGGAGCGAAGAACCGGGAGAAGGTGTGCCAGGGGGCGCCGCTCCTCCTCCGGCCGCCAGACATCTCCCCGGTGCGGCTGCCGGTTGGGGGCCGTCCGCGGGGAACGGGTGAGGCGCTGTCCTGCGCCCGGAGCCCGGCGTGGCGCGACCCGGCGAAGGCAGGACGGACTCGGCGCTGGCCGCCAGCGCGGCTCAGTCCATTCCCCGCGGGAGAGTCGCGGGTGCGACGCACTCCCGGTGCGGCTGCTGGTCTCGCGGCGCGCCAGCTCCTCCTACCGCCCCCGGCTAGCCCGCCCCCGGGAGGAGCCAGAGGCCGCGGCCCCGCCCGGAGCTCGGGCCCAGCGGTAGTCTGCCGGTTTCCCGCCCAAACGAGTTCAGGCTGCATGCAACCCATTTGGCTTTGCGCTCAGTTTTTACTTTGTATTACTGATTTGTTTTCTATTCGCCAGCCAGTGAGCGAAAACAGTACTCGGACTTTTGAAAGAAGTTGATGAACTAGAGTGTGTGAAAACACCTGGTAAAGTGCGGTATCAGAGTGCCTTGGGCTGTCTTTCAGCTAAACAGCTACTCCAAAGACTCCACCAGGGCTGCAAAAGAGGGTACGTACCCCCGGGGCGGAGTCCCAGAAGTGAAGGTGGGGGCATAGGTGTCCTGCAGGCCTGTCATCCCGTTTCTTGTTCAGCTCCCCTATGTGTGGAGTAACTTTCCCTAACCCAGAAGCTCTTTAAATTTCTCACACTCCATATTATCTACTTCTCTGCGAACCTCCTACAAAAAGGACACTGATCAAAAAACAAGTGATTTAAACATATTTTGTAGTCGTTACACAGACTTAACTGAAATCTGGAAACCAAATAGTCTTTAAGAATGCTAAAAACAAGGACAGTCTAAATACAGTACTATGGAATTTCTTAGTTTTTTTTTGTTTTATATACAGAAAGCCCTACATAATTAATGTATACATCCTGATGAGTTTGGAGATAAACACCCGTGAAACAGTTATCACAATCTATGCCATAAACCTCCAAAAGTTTCCTCCTGCCCTCTTATTTGAGAACACTTAACATAGTGTGCCTTTTTAGTAAATTTTTAAGTGTACAGTACAGTATTATTAACTATAGGCACAATGCTGTACAGTAGAACTCTAGGAATTTCTCATTTTTCATAACTGAAACAAACTACTTTTGACTAAAAGCTCCCTGTTTCCCCCTCCATTCCACTCTACTATGAATTTGGCTATATTATAGTGATCATATAAGTGGTATCATGTAGTATTTGTTCTTCTGTGCCTGACTTATTTCACTAATACAGTAGTATGGATTTTCTTAGTTTTTTTTGTACCCTGGTGGCTAGAACAGAAAACATTGAGGCCCCTTCACCCCAGGTGTTTTGTTTTTGTTTGCTTGTTTTAAAACTAAATTGCTCCTGGGCGCCTGGGTGGCTCAGGTCATGATCCTGGGGTCCTGGGATCCAGTCCCGCATCGGGCTCCCTGCTCCTTGGGAGCCTGCTTCTCCCTCT